TGAACACTGCCAGGGATGGGGCAGCCACAGCTTCTCTGGGCACCCTGTGCCAGCGCCTCAGCACCCTCACAGGGAAGAGCTTCTTCCTAATGTCTGATCTAAATCTCCTCTTTCAAAGCCATTCCTTCTTGTCCTGTCACTATGTGCCCTTGTAAAAAGCCCCTTTCCAAATTGCTTGTAGGCCCGCTTTGGGCACTGGAAGCTTCTCTAAGGTCTTCCTGGAGCCTTCTCTTCTCCAGGCTGAACAAGTCCAGATCTCTCAGCCTGTCTTCATAGGAGAGGTGGTCCAGCCTTCTGAGCATCTCTGTGGCATCTTCTGGACATGAGGCTGCTGCTGTGTGTCTATAGGTGGCCTCATCTGCTCAGTCTTCCTGGTCGGGTAGCCCCCTGTTATGTCCCCTGTCCCTGCCCTCCCTTTAATTGGGACCCATAAGCTCTTGGTTGCTCCTTATCACCCCAGGCAGAACTCCATCCTTTCCAACTGGTCATTGACACAGAGAGAAACCCTCCCTCCTTGTCTTCCCTGTCTGTATATCCTGAAGAGCCTGGATCCTTCCATTCCCACACTCCAGGCATAGGAGCCATCCCGCCATGTCTCCACGATACCACTAAGATGGCACATGTCTCTAACTCCTCTTGTTTGTTCCCCACGCACTGTACGTTTGCATAGACGCATTTAAGCCTCTCAACAAAGAGATGCCTTGATTTTTTTGGCATGAAAACACTCAGATAATTTCCTTTATCTGTTGTAGGAGCAAATGTATTGACTAGATGTCAAAGCAGTCATGCAGGAAAAAGAACAGATATTCAGAGTGTGCCTGTGTAATATGAATAAACAAAAGATTTATGGAGCATAACAACCTTCCTTGTTTACTGTGCCAATAATATTTTCTATCAGAAATGCTGAAGCCAATAAAAGAAAGACATGTACATAGAAATTCTACTTTGTCACTGTGACACAGCAAAGTTGATGTGATAATGGTTGTGTTATGAGAAAATCAGTTCATCAAGGAAATAGGAAGCATTTTTCTCCTTGTGCTTGGGCTGGTTGGTTTTGTTCAGTCTGTTCTTCTCAGCGTTCATGTTCCTGAATTTTGCTGGCTTTTAGCCTTTACCCACAAATTAATAGTATCATTAGAATCATAAATGCTGGGGGTGGGGAAGGGACCTCTGGAGATCACCTTATCCAACCTCCCTTGCTCAAAGCAGGGCCATCCACAGCAGGTTGCCTGAGTCCAGTCAAGTTTTGAATGTCTCTGAGGATGGAGGCTCCTCTCTGGGCGATCTGCTGCAGTGGTAAAACACCATCACAGTAAAGAGGCTTTTTCTTATTACATTTGAATGAAATTTTTCAACTTGTGTCCATTGCCTTTGTGTCACCACTGAGAAGAGACCAACTCCCTCTTCTTTGCTCCCTTCCTTCAGGTGTTATACACATTTATAAGATCTCCCCCACCCCGAGCCTTCTGTTCCTCATACTAAACAAGGCCATCTCTCTCAGCCCCTCCTCCTGTGATAGGTGCTCCAATCCCTTGATCATCTTCATGGCCTGTGGCTGGGCTTGCTCCAGTATATCCACATCTATCTTCTACTGAGGAACCCAGAACTGAGTGCAAGACTCCAGATGTGTTTTGCCAGTGCTGAGCAGGCAGGGTAACCTCCTTTGACCTGTCAACAACACATACTCTTAGTGCAGCCCAGGATGCAGTCAGCTGCCTTTGCTGCAAGAGTGTCTCGCTGGTTCTTGGTCATTTTGTTGTCCACTAGGGCACAGGTTCTTCTCTGCAAACTGCTTTCCAGGTGGGCAGCCCCCAGCCGGTGCTAGTATCACTCCTCAGGTGCAGGACTTTGCATTTGCCTTCGTCGAACTTCAGGAGTTCTTGTTAATCCATTCCTCCCGTTTGTTGAGTTCCCTCTGAGTGGCAGCACAACCATCTGGAGCATCAGCCACTACTCCCAGTTTTCTGCTGTATGTTTGTGAAAATGCCAATTAAAGTCCAGTGAGTTCAGATTGAAACATTAACTACAAAACATAAACAAGTTTACAAAGACTGAACCGAAAGAAACAAGTTCGGACGGAGAGAATGTGTATGAGGAATGGGATGCAAGTGGTCTTTTCTGGTTTAAAATAGTCATAAGTTGCTCATTTAATATTTCAGGAGGGCTCAGACAATGAGGAAGAAGAAGGTGAAGAAGAGGAGGAAGAGAACACGGATTATCTTACAGACTCCAATAAGGAAAATGAAACTGATGAGGAGAATACAGTATGTGTTGTAGCTTTAGATAAGCATATTGAATTTTGCATCTTTGGTTTTCCTTTACTGAGTATTTTTTGCCAGTTCTGCTCATAACATATCTGAGAAAACACAGCAAGAACACTCACTGCTGTACTTTCAGATACATTTAAGAGCTTATTTTTGTTTTTGCAAACTACCATTATTACCTCCTGAAAATATTTATGTTGTCAACTTTTACCACAACATGTTTTCACAGGTAGCTAGACTGGAAAAAGGTTGCGTAAATGGTGGTTTTGCAATGCCAGCAGTGGTAGCAAACTGATACGGTACAACAAGGTAAACTAGTTACACTCCACTAGGTCTCAAAGCTGAAAAGGAGACAAACCAAGAAGTGCAGAACTCCTAAAATGTGAATTTGGGATTAGCAGATTATAACATCTGTAGCAAAAGAACCCATCTGGTTGAGCCTGCATTGCAGTTGGATAGTAAGGAAAGTAGTGAACTTTTTAGAACAACATGTTTAAATATTTTTTTGTTATGTTGTGCTTTCCAAATATAGAAGGACAGTATTTGTCTTGAAAAGACCATCTAACTTTATGGACTTAATGGAAAAACTAGTTAAATTAGTTGTGGTAAGGATAGAGGCTTTTCTTTGCATTGTTGCCATAGCTAGGATGTGTACATGCAGTTCTATACACCCACACTTTTATGTCAGAATATTATGAGTGGCCAGCCTTTATAATAATTGATGCCATAAACATCAGAAAATACTTCTTCAAGGAAATAATCCAGGCTGAAAGCTATTTCTTTAACAATTTTTGTTTCAAGCTTTTGATTATGTATGGCAGGGAAGCAATAAGGAAATTTTTCCACTTCTGGCTTGAATAATCATATTTCTGAAACTAAGGTAATAGGAGGGGTTTTTTTCCCATTGCAATAGGAGGTAATGATTAAAGGAGGAGGACTTAAGCATGTCCCTTGTGCAGAAGATGAGGACTTCATTCAAGCATTGGATAAAATGATGCTGGAAAATCTTCAGGTATAAATACTTATTTTCTTAAGCTAATATAATTTGCTGCCAGCTAACTGTATTTAAGTAAATGAGTGATTAATGCTTATCTTGCTATATTAAAGAACGTGGATTTTTCTCTTAATTGTGGCCTCTTCTCTGCAACTGACTTATTTGGATAAGTAGCTTTTGGTAAAATAGCTGTTAATTGTATTTATGTTGTGTGTGTGTGTATATGTATACACACACATATATAAAAATACATATGTATTTAATAATAATAATGTGTATATAAAATATACATATATATGTCATCTATTCACTGGGCATTTTATATATATATTGACAGTGAATATATGACATGCTGACATATTTTACTGGATGAATAACTGCATCAGATACCATGCAGTGCTTGGATGGTTACCCTAGACTATCCAAGCCTGGGTTTCAACATGTTTAAAATATAGCTGCATTTAAATGCACATAACCTTTAAGTCCTTGTAGTTTTCTTTCAGTCACATCTGGTAAATATTTAAGTATTGAGTATAGCAAGCCCTGGATGAGGGATACATGAATAAAATGCTACAAAACCCCCATTTGAGTATAGAATGTCCATTTTCAAGTGTGTCTAACCAGTTCTCTAGATTTCTTTCCTTAAAAGGTGATTATCCAAAATTCCTTTAAAATTTGAAGTATTCTGTCCCTGTAAGTTTCTTCTTCACAAGCAAGGAAACCAAAGGAAAATGTAATAAAGCCTAATACATGTATTTATATATTACATAGTTTTCCTGGAAGGTTAAACCTTTTCTCAGTAATGAAAATACAAACGTTACCAGACTGACTGACATGTTTAGCATCTGATCATTTATAGAATTTACTTCTTTTGATTTTTTATAACAGCAACGGAGTGGAGAATCTGTTAAGGTACATCAGCTGGATGTTGCCATTCCTCTCCATCTGAAAAGTCAGCTCAAGAAGGGTCCCCCACTTGGAGGTGGGGAAGGAGAATCAGAGTCTGGAGACACAATGCCATTTGTCATGTTAACACGAAAAGGCAACAAGCAGCAGGTAAGGTTTTACATAAGGTATTGTTTAAATAAACAAAACTTCTTTTGAAAGTCACAGGATTTTTTATTTCTTCATCCTTTTCTCAGAAGGGTTACAAACAACTTAATTTTGATAAATAGAAAATACCACATATAGTTTCTTGTAATTCTTGGTTGTTAGTAGTAATCATGGAGAAAAGTTCTGTGGTTAAGTTATGCCATTACTAATTATGTTTGGCAGCTACACCAGTAGGACAAAGGTATGTCTTGCATAGATTTGAAATACAGTTGTGGAAGATGTCTGGCAGTTGGTGGACTGCCACTGTATGTTGAAAGGAGCAGGAGGGAAAAAAAGGAATATTCCAGAATCTTTAAAATTCTCCAGATTTTTCTGGAAACACTTTCAGCTTGAAGTAAAGCTATATGGTGCTTGCTAAATTCCATTTCCCAAGTAACTGCCACTTGGCTGAATTTGTTCAACTGGCAAAGGAAGTAGTTATTTCTGAAGATTTTTAGGGGACTATTCCAGAATGCACTGGGTGAATCTCTCAGAGAAACTCAAATGTAAATCATGTTGATAAAACAAACAAGCCCTTGGCTTCATGCAGCCAAGCTATATATTTGTCTTGGCTCTTTTCTCCAGTGTATGTTTGAGTTTTCCTAAGTCAGCAAATGTGTAGTATACAAATCAATACCTAACACATTCCAGATGCATTTCTCATCATGGTTTAGGTGTTTTAAAGAAACCTTTTCATTTTGGTTGTGTAAATTGGTGGTGAAAATGAATGATTTAGCTTATATGGAAAGCAAACCCAAAGCATTGTTTCATTCCCTGTATCTGTACCTTTCAAGTGTTTGGATCCATGTCAGTACTTTGGTTTGACTTATTGCCTGAATTCTGACAGTGGTATAACAGTTGAGGTCTATAAACATGAAGTAGAGTGTTTCTCTTCCTTCCCATGAAAGGCACTTCAAAAATACCATGTAGAAGGTGAGATAGTCTCATCTCAAAACACTTGAACTAGTGAGTGTGTGCTCTGCTAAGCAAGTGCTTTGAAAGTGTAAGTGGCAATATTAACTTGAGTGGGCACATAGGCACATGCGTGCTTGCATTTAGTAGTGATGATTATTTGTTAGGTTATTCTGTTTTCCTGGAACTTGAATGTTGAATACAAAGTTCTACAGAAGTTATGAGGGGTGAATTTTAACTGTTGTTGTTTGACTGAGAAGGGATTTAAGAGAATGCTATTTAAAAAAGGTGTTCAGCTTTTTCAGGATAATTTACTGGGAGTATCTGTAGCTACCAGGAATTCTAGTATCTTCATTTTCTGTGTGAGGGGAAAATATTGCCAACATGTGGCTTAAAAAGAAAGCAGAACTTGTTCAGGAGTTTTCCCTGTTCCTCCCCCAATATTTGGTTTTGGGAGTAGGCTCTTCCTGCCAAAACTCCTTTCAGTGTTTCTAGAAATGTAGAAAACAGTTGCTTTATAGAGAACTTGAGTTCTTGAGTCAGTGAAGGGCTTCTTTGTCCGTACTTCTGTATTCAGGGATAAAAAAAGTCTTAGTAGTCAGTTTTAATACAAAAATGAGCAGAAAGAAGAGGTGAAGTTGAAAAGAAAATAATTATTCCTTCTTACAGTACTTTATTTTCCATCTGTATGAGCAGAATGTGCACAGAGGTTTGAAGTGATGGACTTGCACTTCACTGTTAAGCTATAGCTGTAAACTTTCAGGTTTTTAAGGGCAGTCAAAAGGAACCTAGAAGGCTCTGAGGAACTTCTCATCTGCAGACTCACTGCAATGATAAGCATCACCACCTCACGATGACATCAACTTGCTGTGTTAGCAATTGGTTTGGTCTCTGTG